CTTTTTCTAATAAACACTAAACAGTTGTTGAGATGTCAACACTAAACAGCAACAACTTTAATAATAAAAAAGGGACAATAATAATTAAATTTAACGTTATGGTATTTTTCCAGCAGCTGCATTGTCTCCAGTACTTGCAACTGCTTCTTTCAAGATCTTCCATGTTGTTCCTTTAACTTGATCCTTTCTTTGCAACCATTTTTGAATAGTTTTTTCCAGATAATCTTCGGAATCACCATTTGTTTTACCAATTGTATCAAGTGTCGGCGCAATGAGACCCAGAGATAGTCCTAAGCTCCTCCATTTTGTAGGACCAAACATTGCTTTATTTAAAGCATTTAAAACTTTCTCGACATCACCTACATCTAATGAAAGGAAATGATAATGTATAATGTGTACCTAATGTTCTCCTATGTACTTAGTTCATTTGGGTTTGTCTGTGTAGTTGTGGGTTCACTGGGTTGTGGTGGAGCAGAAGAGATAGCATCAGTTGGTACTTGTGATGTAGCAGTTGTGCCTAAGATATTAGTAAAATAAGTTTTACTAATACAAGACCTTAATTGTGTTACAAGTCTCTCCGTTATTGGTTTTTAATAAGAGACAAGTACAATTAATTTTAAACTAAATTGAAAACAAGTTAGTTTTAAAGCACAAACAATGGATGCTTAAATTAAATGACACATATATAGATTTATAGTTATTTAAATTGCTGCATGCAATCTAATTATGTGTATGTATTTGAAGATCATGCATGTTTTTACTTAATAGCTTTTCCCTCATGCCTGATCCAAGTTTCTTTAGTTCTTCATTATCCACTTTTTTGCTTTCAAACACATCACATATCTTTAGTAAACATTGGGCAGACTTGTCATTATCATCTACATCTATTTTTTCAAAAAGATTCATAGCTAGGGCATCTCCTCTCTTATTATCATCGAGATTATGTTGTGTTTTTATTCGACCAATCTCTCCTGGAGTAATCAGCTTGTTTGCAAAGAGATTACCAGTAACATTAGTGAAGTTTGGCTCTTTTCCAATCAATGGAAAAATGTCACCATACTTCTCCCGAAAGATGTCAGCTGGAGTTTCACCTGTGCACATTAAAAAGCAGATTAGATTAACCTTAATATCAACTGAATTAAAGATGAGAACACAAGAAAAGCTAAGGTCAAATGATAAAAGATGAGGAACTGGGATTGGCATTAGCCCGGTAATCAGTTGGCATTTCCTGTTTAGTTTAATAAACTCCTTATCACTATCATTTTATTTTAATATTTATGATCTATTCACATTTATTATTTTAAAAGGCTTTCAAGTACTTTTCTAGCATTTGCAGCAGCATAGCCTCCTGTTTCCATCCTTTCCTGTCTCCATGTCAAAATCTGCCATGTTCCACTTGTTTAGTTCATGCTAATGTAAAATATAAATATAAAGGGGTGGTTATTTTGGCCATTCATTACAACTGTTTTTAAACCTAGGCTCTTCTCAATTGCTATCAGTGCTGTAAAGCTATAGCATACTCTTTAATATAGCAGTGATGGGCTTAGCAGGCATAGTGGTACTGCTGCCATTATGTACAGATTTATCAAAAGGGAGTATCAGTGGTAGGTTGTCTGTAGCTACTGTGGGAGTGAGAATTGATAGTAGAAGTAGATAATACTTTTATATACAGTACACTACTGTATAGTTATATAGTAATACTAGTGATACCGTACTATCACTAGTATGCAACTATGCATATTGAAGTTGATTATTTATTATATATTTATTCAGCCATAAACAGTTCCTGGAATGGCACATATGTACATTGCTATGTGGGTTTCCAATATGGATGCACTGCCACTGCAGGGTAAACCCATTGGTTATGTATATAGTGTGTGAAACTAGGGCATCAAAGGCTGAGATAATAATCTTAAGCCTCACCTGATGTATAGAGTGGTATTTGCATATTGATAAATGGGCCAGGTCACTGAGATTAGGACTGATGATAAATTAGTAAGCTTATAGCAGCTGTGAGTAACTTGAGCCCTGCCAGGTGGCCTGACCTTGGGCTTGACCGTAGTAGGACTTACCCACAGTTGCTATACTAATATGGTTATCAGACTTATCACTTTCTTTTGATTGTACTAGGAATATCAAAGCTTAAAATGTATTTTATACACTTTGATTTATATTGCAAAGAGTTTCGTATTTTAAGCAGGCGCATGGTCCATATCAAATGGAAAATGGGATTGTAACAATTTTAACAAATACTCACAGCACAGTAGTACATAGTAACATAGATATAATACACAGACCTGTGTGTATTACAGTTTATGTATTATATCTATGATGGTAAGTACTACAATAAGTACTACGATGAAACTTTAACTGGTGTGATCTTTTGAATTCTCAGAGTGTCAATATCATCATGGCCAGCAGTTTATAGTGATGTGAGTTTA